CTCAGGCTTTCACAGAGAGCACATTGGCCAAGCAATGGCTGTAACTCATCCACATGGCTGATACTCACAAAGGTTCTACAATCTGAGGTACATGATCTCAGGATAAATACTGAGGGGATTTCACTGACCTTATCAGACCCAAAAGCTGCAACTCTTGTTGCATAGGTCCTGCTTTACCTTGGTCTTAACCATCCAGCAGAAAATATAAAAACAAAATATAAGAAGTAAAGCCATGCTGTTATGTTGAGCTATAGGGGACTCAGGTCAACAATTTCTGACATTGCCTGTCAAGCGGAAGACCCAATATTATTATGGGCTCCTGGACTCTTTTAGAATATTTTGCTGAGTTTACACACCTATAATATTCAAATAACAGAACTTAAGAAAAAAAGGGGATACAGATGAATGTCCATTTTGCATCTGTGTATTCAAAGTGGTTAGGATAGTTATATAGTTATATTCTCTTAATAAATAAGTGATTTGTTCTAATGGTGTTTGTAAATAGGATATCATGTCTGCATCTTGTACAGCAATTAACCACTAGGAAGAAAGTACGCGATGTGTTGATTATCGAAACTGCCCTACCAATTTGGTTTGAAACTGTCTCATTGCTATTTGTTTATCAATAAAATTATGGGAAAAATATAAAACCAAGCATATGCATCCACAACCCAGTAATTTCACTCTTTAGTATATACTCAATGGAAATGTATATATGTGCTTGATAAAGCATAACTACAAAAATTTTCATAGTAACAATGTGTATTCATAATGTAATTCCAATTGAAAATATCTCAACATTCATCACTAGTAGAGTGAACATATTGTGATATTGTCATACAAAGAAATGTGAGATTAGACAAACCACACTGCATAACAGTGATAAATCTTACAAACAATCTAGAAAACAGATGCCAAAAGTACATGAAGCATGAGTTTTATATAAGTCAAAATGACTGGAAGATGAAGTTTTAAAGGAACTTGTCAAAATTTTGCCTTATTTGGGAGATAAGATCAGTTCATAAAAATACTGAATTGTTTGTATTTTCCTGTATAATATTTTATTTTAATGGGAAAAAAGAATTGAAATGTACAATGTATATGTACCTATTCCCTATAGTCAATGAGATCATTATGTACTGCAAACATGTACTAATAAAAGTAAAAAAGAAGAACTACATACAGTTATAAAGTAAAAAAAAAATTAAATAAAATACTTTTCTTTTTATTGATAAAAATAAATAAATAAATATAAAAATGTAAAAAAAAAAAAAAAAAAAAAAAAGCACAGGGCATTCTCCAGCCAACAACCAACAGCAACCTGATCTCAATCCATTAGTTGAGGAAGAGGCACTAAAGGTTCACAAACTTATGACTGTTCATATTTGCATCAAAATGAATTTTTTTCACTTACATTCTATCACTAAAGGGTTTTTTGGTTATAGCTATAGTTATCATAATGGGCTATTTAAAGTGGTCCATTCATTTTTTTGGTCATTTTATTGTATTTATAACTCTTTATTAGACAGGGGTTACATTTGGCAACTGTATATTTATTAATCCTCCTGGATGCCTTGCTAAAGTTGCCCAAGATGGGCTACTCCACAAAAGGAACAGTGCGGGTCAAAGAAATGACAATTGCAAAGGACATGAGGGAAAGGAAACGTATAGAGCAAGAAGAATAACGAAGAAGGCCAGTGTGGTAACAGGGAGTGAGAAAGAGGAAGGACATAGGAGATGAGACCAGTGATATAATGTAGAACCAGGTCATGGGAAGGATTTGGAGATAAACAGAGGAAAGAAACCACAAGGGATTTTCAAGGTTTCCAACTCAGGAGGAACAGGTTAATGCTCTGATTTGCATTTTAAATGGATCTCTCCAACTATGGTGTTATGAAAAGACTAAAGAAGAACCAAAAAAGGTGTACTAGAGAATACACTACTGCAGAGCCCAAGCCAGTCATGATGCATGAACCTGGGTGGGAACTCTGAGGAGAGATGAAACAGCGAACACAAGTCAAAATAGATTTTCTGGTTAGTTAAATATAGTACGAGAAGTAGAAGTGACACCAGGGTATTAGGTCTGAGTGTTGACATTAGCAGAGAAAGACAAGAATGCAGATCACTAAATATTAAAACATAAACAGTAAATCTGCCAGAAGATAGAATAGGGAAAATTCTGGAAGACATAGATGTAGGCAAAGACTTTATGAACAAAACCCTGATTGCACAGGAACTATCATAAAGAATCAACAACTGGGATCTCATTACATTAAAACGCTTTTGCGCAACAAAAGAAAGCACCAAGTGAAAAGAAAACACACATAGTGGGAAAAATTTATGCCAGCTATTCTTAATACTAAAATCTAGACATATAAAAACCTGAAAAAAAAATTAGAGCATCCAAATTTAAAGAACCAATCCAAAAATGGGCATTTAAGATGAATGGACATTTCTCAGAAGGACAAATAACAAATATATGAAAAAAATGTTCAATATCATTGGTCATTTGAGAACTGCAAATTAAAACAATACTTCAATTGCATTTTACTCTGGAAAGAATAATTATTATGAAGAAAACAACTAATAACAAATGCTGGTGGAAATGGGACCCTTCTCTGCTGTTTATAGGAGTGTAGATTTGTGCAAACATTGTACAAATCAGTACAGACAGGACTTAAAAGTCTAGGATTATCAGTCCCATTTGACCCAGTTAGCCCTTTTATGGATATCTTCCCAGAAGAATTAAAAGCATCATACCACAGCCATATATGCACACCCTTGTTTATAGCATCACAGTTGGGAACAGCTAAATCTTGGAGGCAGCCCAAGGGTCCATCAATCAGTGAATGGATAAAAAGATGTAGTTTTTCTTACATAATAGAATACTACTCTGCCAGAAAGAAAAATATAAAAGTGAGATATTTACAGCTAAAAGAATTGTCCTTGAGACCATAATTATAAGTGAAATAAATTGGACCCACACGTGTAAATATTGTATTACCTCTCGGGTGTAAGAAACTGAAAATATAAACAGTAATATTAATTATTGTGAAATAAGAAGAAATTGTTTAAAAGTAAAAGGGAGATAGAAAGTGAAGAGGGGAAAGAAAGGGAAAAAATGAGAGAAGAATGAGACTTGGGAAAGGGCAGGGAAAGGTGGTTTGAAAAGAGGGGAGAAAATGGGGGGAGCAGAGGAATTGAGATGTAATGTGCACAGGTACAAATTCTCTACGCTGAATGTTCTCATTTCTTATGCCTAAATTTTACCAATAAACTTAAATTTAAAAATGAAAAGAAAAAAATAAATAAAATGAAAAAGAAAAGAATGCAGATCACTAGGGAGAATACAAGATCAGTTTTGCACGTGACATTTTGACATGTTTTATTCAGCATGTCAGGTAGACCTTGCTGCTATATTCAAATATTTTTTCTCCTTTCAAGTACTTTACAGGACTTATTTTTTCTACCTCATTTGACTTGATGTGAGCAAATGAAAGGGACACAGAAATAACTGTGTCACCTCTGGTCAGAAACTTTAAAAGCTAGGGTGAGAATAGTCCCACTCCTTTGCCTTCCAAAATAACCAAAAAGGCTAAGGCACCAGCAAGCTTATTTTGTACCCAAAGAATGAGGAAGCAAAACACATGCTGTGTGAAGCTTCTGCGATCTAAAGAGTGTGGCTGCACTAGATTTACATACATCAGCATTCATGTGGAAAGGTCAAGAAGGTGGGTGGGCATACTGTTCTGAAATAATATAATTTGGGAATCATCAATATATAAACATTTAAGCAACACTGAATAGAATTAGCAAGGAAACTGAACTGTAAAAGAGTCCTGGAATACCCCAAAATTTTGAGAAGTCGAGGTTATGAGAAGAACCTTGTGGATGAAAAACAAAGAGGAAGCCATTGAGTGAAGTATTTTGGCAGCCAAAGAAGGTAAATGTACTAAATACCCGACAAACCTGAATAGAAGAGATTGTTATGTATGACCCAAAGTCACTCTTTGACTTTTCTGAGACTAAGACAAAAACAGCCAATGATCACTTTCTGGTGGGTAACACATTCCGAGGCTATTAGATTTACATATATTTAATATATACAGCATCTAGGTATATTTTTGTTTTCCACAGCATAACACATCATATTATGTTCTCTGTCCTTCTCATTTTGTTTTGTAATTTAGAATTACTGGACTTACTAGTCACTCTGAATCAGAATACTTTCTTTCATCTTACTGAAATTTTGTTTCATTACTCTCACCTCCCTTTACTTTTATATTTTCTATGACTCTCACTCTGACATTTTAAGAAACTAGAGAAAAATTCCATTTTCCAACCATGAATTATTCTCTCAATAATGATCTCAGCTTCTTTGAACAACTCATTTTATTATTTTATTATTTATTGAATTATTCATTTGTAATGAACATCAGAATTCCACACTGTCCAATGCCCTTAAGTCTTCTTTGTCCATAGTAAGCAGATGAAGGAGTAAAGCAATAGCATATTTCTACCTGTTTGTCTAAAAATTCTAATGCTGCCTAGCAGTGGACATATTTTAAACCCTCATAAGCACAGTACTAGCAAATGCTGGAAAAAAAATCTAGGATATTTTCTTCAAAAGCATCCCATATATCCAAATTCTGTACTTTAGAAAAATATTGCTCCATGATTGACAATGTTCAATTAATTCCTACAGGAACTAGAGCAGCATGCAAAATAATCATTTGTTAATTTCTCACATTAACTGAAATAGTCTGATATGCTTACCGTGAACAACTTGCTCCTCACTACATAAATATCATTCTTCCTTTTCAGTGCCCAGAATGTATCCGTAAAGTAGCAGTTGAGCTGCTCAGCTACAACATTCATTCTTACAGATATACACTCAGTAAATATCCCTCGGATTAGAGAGGGTTTGCTAAATTGACATTTACAGAACTGGCTAACCTAGATTGCTCCTACTTTTTTCCTTTATTAAGTCTTTAGCTTACTTTGTAGATACTCCTGCAGACTTCCATATCTCATCAGTTCTGTGATAATATAAATTGGATCTTCTAAAGTGCAAACAGCATAGAGCTGGATAAGCTTTGGATGCCTCAGATTCTTCATTATCTGTGCCTCCCTCAGGAAGTCCTTTGGATCCATTGAACCTGAAACAAGAGGAGAAAGAAATCATTTAGTGTTACTGAGGCCTTGCTCTTCTCACAGAAGCCTGGTGGGAACTGCTCAGACTGCCTCGTGCTTCTCAGTAGCATTGAGCATCAGTGTCACAAATCTTCTAAGTTATTGAAGAATAAAATCAGTTTAGTCAGGGCAACCTAATTACCAGAAGTACTGTTGTATCAGGGGTGTGTAGTTTACGTGTTACGGCCTGAGGTGAAGAGCACTTGATTCAGTTCCATAAGAAAAATAAAGAGAAAAGGAACAACTGACAGTCTAACTGATAAAATGAGGAGGCATCTTAAGCACACAAAGAGAAGACATTCAGTTGGCAAGAATGCTGGAGGATGCTGAGTGTTTAATCACTCCAGCTGGCACCATCCATCCAGATCCAGGAAAGACTAACAGCTACCTAGTCCATGGTGCCCACTGTGGGAACAGCTGGAAAACAATCCTTAAAAATGACATTCTGCCATACTTACACCCTTAATTCTGTAGGAAAATAAAAACAGGTCAAGTAGAAAATATTTAAGGGCCATTACCAAAAGGTAAGCTTTTTTCTTACATTAGTTTTATGTATTTAACATGAAACTAATGTTCAGCATTTTCTTCTGCATTCTCAATTTCTACCATGAAAGCCTTACAGTTTAACCAAATGATAAGAGAGACTGTCAGAGCCTACTTTGAGGACTGGTTTAAAAGTAAGTTCTATTTATGTGGTACAGTTCTGACTCACCATTCAAAGACGCAGGTAGTTAACATCAAATAACATCTAAAAAAGGAACTTTAAATTTCACCAACAATTTTAAACTCATTTACTTATTTTAGAATATGATGTGTCAGAAGTATTACTATGGCTGAATGAATATTGCTATTTCACATTTTAATATTCACTAAGGATAGAGCAAATATCATTTCCACTGATACTCAAAGAGACCATGTGATTCATTACCCTTTCCAGGCAGAAGTCTTTGCAACTGATACTGAACTCAGGCCTGAATGCACTTTGACAGTCTAAGTCAGTCCTGTGACTTATCATTGTGAAGTTAAGAAAATATGGTCATACAGTACAACACCTAACACACTAATGCAGTCGCCTGCTTGTGAGTGTGGAAGGTCAACACCTAGGTCCAATCAAACTGTATTCTGGACAAATTTCAGCTATTAACACTTGTATGATCTGAGCAGTTACCAAACCTCTCTGAACTTCAATTTCTTCATCTGGAAAGTGTGGCTAACAGTCCTACTTGTGTCACATAATCATTATCTGGATAACAGCAATGCCTGACACCTCTGTATTATTCAATGACTGTGGAATATCATTTGAATTATTTTGATATGCATACTTTTAGGAAACTGAACAGCCCGCCTGTATTTTTAATTGACTGAGGAGAAAGAGCAAGGTCTTAAAAGAAAGAAAAAACAGCCTATTTTCCTTCCTACCATGTTTCCCTGGTCTCCTTCATTTCCAACTCTGCTTTTGATTTACTCCCTTTAATCAAACAGTATTAAAATTTGGAATCATGGGAGAAAAATGGAGCTGAGCATAAAGAGGCATCTAAAAATGTAAGAAAGTATTTTCTTCTTGGTTGTTTGGTATGTGATCAAATATAGGTACAGAATTTCAAAAATATGATTGATGAACTTATAGTGAGACCAGCAATTATGATCACCATTCAGACAATTTATGGAGGATTCACAAACCACTCCCAAGTCAAACTATCCCCAGACTATTCACAGGAGCTGAAACATTGATGTGTCATTAGCTCCTGCAGGAAGGTGGAGGTATTCAGAGCACTTCTTTTGGTTCTACTAGTTATGGCTGTGCAAGTGCAGAGCAAGAGAGACCCACACATGATCCAGAATCAAATACTAATTTTTGCCTGTCCAAGCTACTGTGGGAGTCTATTTAAGGCTCATCATTATTGCATGGTAGTCTGCAAAGCAAAGTAGCTATTAAGATTGACTAATGGTCCTAGTGAGGTGAATACATTTAACCATTCTGCAAAGATGTTTGTTGCTATTAAACTGTAATTGAATAATTGTTGGAAAGAAAACTATTGGGGTTTTTTAGCATAAGAAATATGATTTTTATTCCTTTTTGACCTTTAGTTGGTCTTCCTTAGAGAACAACTATTAGGAAGGATAGCTCCCTACTTCTTTTCGGAAAAGTGATTATGTTGATCAAAAACTTAGTCTCCACTGTCAACAAGTTTAGGATTGAAAAACATGTAATTGGTTGACAGTTAAAACTAAATTTTGTAAATATATAAATCTGTGAAAATCTTAAGTGTTGACTAGGCAGATCATCTTGACCTGGAATGCTTACGTGGCATCTGGCTTCTTTAAAATGCCTCTGTACTGTTTTATTGGGCAGACATGAACACTGGAACTGAACTACTGCTCTAGTGAATTCACATTTAAGTGGGTGCATCTGTTTGTAGCCCCATGGATGCTCAATTTATTAAGAACTCCTGCCGATACTTTATACACATTGACCAAGTCTGTCCTCATAAAATCTTATAAAGTAAGAACCATTAAAATTTGAATTGCCTGGTAAGATGATTCAGAAAGATTAATAATTTGTTAGAAATCACAGAGGACAGGGTCCCATGTGATTTCAGGTTTATTTTATACCAAACGCTATGTTCTTAATTGTTGTACCACAAGATCACAACACTTCTAGCCCATGTTACCTCCTGTTTCTCAGCAGGTTATTTATTTATTTATTTATTTATTTATTTATTTATTTATTTATGTATATTTTGCCATATTTCATTACTTGGTCACATGCAAACCAGAATTTATCTGTAAAATCTTTTGAAAACAGAATACAGGAAAGTTTCACTTTTAACCTCAATTACTTGCTAATATTTTAAAAGTACCTTTTTTCTGTATTTTAAGGAAGGGTTCACAGTGTGTTCAGGGTCTCACTACTAGATCAGACTCATAGTGATCTCCCTGTTTACAGCCTCCAGAGTGCTGGGATTATAGGCATGTGCCAACATGCCCAGTCTTAACTACCATCTCAGTGCACCCTGGGGGTGAGGATGGTATGGCAGGCCTAGGGATTGAACACCTGGCTACTGTGCCTGCTTGCAGGCACTCTAATCCACTGAGCTATTTGCCAGCCCTAAAAGTACCTACTGGGTACTGCACAACTTCTCAAATCTTGGAAATAGATTGAACATGGCTATCTTCATTTCCAGGTCCAAGTTTGTTTTAAGTGCATCTTGCAGTTCATCACAGCAATCATCAAAAATTCAGGTTCACAAAACTAGGATGTCACCAAAAGGAAGCAACATGACGTGAAGCTGAAACATCAAGCTACTCAGAGGTAGCAAACTGTGTTAAATCCAAATGTTTCTGTCATAACTCTTACATGTCCCAGAGATCCCCTGTGAGTTCACTGTGGTGGCCCAGTGTGCCTTGGCACATGGCGTAGGAGCTGTTATGTTATACACATTGCCAAACAGCTTATTTTCTGTGACTCATGCAACTTCTCCGTATTCCGGACTCAGTCAATCATGGAAAGCCTACAGAGCAGAACAGTGCTCTCAGCTCATTATTCATACCCAGGTCATTCAAAGCAGATACGAAGCTGCCACAATAATGTCACACTTTTGTAGACTGTCACTTCCAAGAGGTAGAACATAATAGTGACAGATATGGGTTAAAATCTCAGCTCTTACATTTCCTACAATTTTAATAATAATAACATTATTTTGTTTTGTTCCCTTGCTATGAACCAGGCACCATATGGAGTGTTCCTAGTAATGACTTACTTTCAGCATCACTCTGCTAGGTGGGCCTTATTAACTTCTCCACTTTACAAATGATAAAACTGAAACACAGAGCAGTTCAAAAGATGCTCAAATTATGCAAGGAATAAAATTTAAGAAAGCTACTTAATCTCTCTGCATTTTCTCACTCCACATTGACCACAGAGAGAATGATAGCTGGGTGACTGAACATTGATTTTGGTATATTTTCCTTATTAACAGAGACCATTTCTATATTTTCAGATATGAAGTCTTTAATATGGACCAGTTTACCTGTTAACCATATATAATTTAGTGTTGAAAAAGTAGTTTTGCTTTAAACAGCACCACTTTTTCATTTGAGTTTTTAAATGATCTTTGGTAATTTTTTTAACCAAGGCCAGGAGCAAAAGGGCATTAGAATACAGAATCCTAAGCTGACAGAAGAAATGCATCAGTGGACTCACACCTGGTTTTAATGTTTTCACAGCTACTGGAGTGGTGTTGTTCCACAGGCCTTCCCAGACTTCACCAAACTGACCATATCCCAGTCTCTTCAGAAGCTGCACAGAGCTGCGGTCTATCTCCCAGTCGTCCACAGTTTTATAGGACAAATCAAAGGTAGTTGGGACCTGTACCTGTTTGACAAAATAATGACAATACTGATAAAACAACAAGTAGATTTAATATTTTTGTTGAAATTAGGAGTCCAGTTACAATTTAGGGAAAATATTGCTGTCAAAAATCAAAACACTAAATTAAAGTCTAGTTACTGTACAAATGGAAGTCAATTGTGGGAGACTGTATTGCTAACTCCTTAAGCTGATCCTCTCCCAAGGCATGTGCCCTGGCATTTCTCTGTCCCATACTATATCCAAGGCCACCCTCAGATGGCTCTGCAGTGACTTCTGTCTGCTTTCCACCCTGGCCAAAGCCCCACCTCCAATTTCCAAACCCAACATTTATTCACATGTCTTCCTTGAACGTGTGATCTGTAGTATGTATTATCTGCATCAACTTACTTCTGCAAAATAAAATTATTTCAAATTAATTTTTCCATCTTTATTTGTTTATTCAATCATTTACACCTTCTTTGGTAAATAAATATTTAACAATCAACTAAGTGTCATTAAGTGTACATGAAGGCCTTCCTTCCTAGAGTCCATGAACAGGTTTATCATCTGCCATAATGTTTCTGTTATAGCTACCAAACTCAACCAGAATGGCCCCAAACTAGTCAACAAAGTTACTACATGAGGACTGTATGTCTCTTCCAACAAAATTTATATGAAAAATTAAATATGGGACAATACTGACTTATGGGCCATAGTTTACCCATTTCTGCCTTAAATCAAGTGACAACTTGTTGTTGTCAGCACCTAAACTTGTCAGTTTAGGAACCTAAACTGATATCACATGAGAAATAAATAATTGAAAGGAAATGTTAACTTCAGAAACGAACACGGCTTGGACATAGTTCACCTTTAAGCATGGTTTTCCCAGCCTTGCACACAGGCCGTCACTTGTCCTGGTGTAATAGTTCACAAATTCATTCAAAGTTGAAAATGTTTTTCTCGGGGTAAGAAAAAAGTCTCCTTTATCCAGTCTTCTGATTCTGTAGTGTTTCACAGCTCGTTCATCTAAAACTGAAATCCAAATAAGTCCTGTTAGTAAACTTATTGCCAGAGCCAAGCAGATTTATTTACTTTATGGTGATTTTTAAATTGATGGAATAAAATTTCCACAAAATTCTATATACTTCTCAACTTTTTCACAGAAAATGTTTAAGGAAGTTTACAAAAGATATATAATCAAAAAAAAGAAAGAAAGAAAAAAGAGCTGGAAGATGGAAGGGTTGTGCTGAAGGCAACGTAAGTTAACGATAAAGGAATGAGGTTAAAACTAGAAACTTTCCATGCTTGGAAGCCTGACAGACACGATGCAAACAAGCTGCCAAATTGCCTCTGTCACTCTAGAGATGCAGGGAAGGAACTCATCCACTTCAGGAATCACAGTGTCCATAGTGGAAACCCCAAAGGTATTTGGAAACAGTGAGACACTTCCTGCTGTTTTTCCCCAGGGTATCTGATACCAGGGAGACTGAAATACAGGGGTGCCTCAGGACTGTCATCCAGTATCAGCCAGTACTCCTCAGGGCTGCCTGTTACAGTGCCCTTCAGTCCCACAATACAGCTGTTCCACACACATAGTATCTCGGGGCCTCAAATGATGCTGTTCTGCTGTGCAACCTCCTTGCTGGATTGCTCAATACAATCTTGCAGCATCTGTGAGAACAAATAGGCTGCACTGCTTTTAGGTAGTCTGATGCTGAGCAGGTAATTGTCACTTTTGCCTACCACCAATTATCTTGTCTGTTAATAGCACTCCAGTTTTCTTTAGGGAGTTACTGTTCACAGGTATAAGCATCTGATACAAAGGGACCTAGTTGCTACCTATACTTGAGAAAAACACCAACACACCAACAGGGTAATTGTAGCAAAGAAGCATTCAGGGAGCTCCAGAAAGACAGGAACTGAGTTTTGCTATTTCTTTAGTTTTGTGTTTTGTTTTTGCTGTCATTTTCTTTTTTTCTTTTGACGTTTTTCATTTCATAAATCCACAATTTTTAATGTCAAGATATGAAAACTTTATACATTATTAGAGTGACAAATGGCTAGAAGTCCATGTTCACTGACTTGCCACACATACTTTACAAAAGTCTAATTACAAGTACAGATAAAAATTAGATAAATATCCACTAACTGGTAAATGGACACACTGAGGTACGTGTGCTTGCCAAGCAAGCACTTATTTACTAAGCTATCTCCCTGGCCCTTTTAATAAAGAGGTTTTGGGGCCGGAGAGATGGCTCAGTGGAATAAGTGCTTCCCTGGCAAGCACAAGGGTCTGAGTTCAATCCCTGGTTCCGCCAATAAATAAATAAATAAATAAATAAATAGGTTTTGTTTGTTTGTTTGTTTGTTTGTTTTGTGGATCTGAGAATTGAACTCAGGCCCTTGTGCTTGCCAGGCAAGCACTTATTCTACTGAGCTATCTATATTCTTAATACAAGCATTTATGTACAGCAGGAATTGTAGACAGTACTTGGTGTATTTGAAGTTCATTCCTATATAACTTGCCTATTTGTCTATTCAATGAACATTTGGTAGCTAATCTCACAAACTAATGCATGTATTTAATTTATATTTCTATATAATAGATTTTTAATGTTTGTATTTGTGAATTTAGTGGATGTTTTATTTCTGAATTAAAGATTGTCACTGGAAAGACTCAGTGTAAAAGGCTACTCTCAACTACAAGATGGCATTCCTAACATTTGTCTTTGCTGATAACAGTCTGCTTCATTTTTTTTTTGGAAGAGCTACCTCCATAAAGAATGTAATGATGAAAATAATAGTTTTAATAAGCAGAAAATTTTTTTTAGAAAAATTTGAACCAGTCATGTTAATGTTAAATTTCCAGCTTAGCTTGTGATCTTTGCTGTCATTTTCATTGCTGCGAGTTTACAGCTATTGGTCAAATCCTTTCCCCTAGCCAGTAGAAAACTCACCTGGAGGACAGGCAGCCCAGGGAAAGTGGTCTTGATTTGAAAATTAAAGCTAAGAGGGCCAGAGAGATAGTTCAGTAGAATAAGCGCCTGCCTGGCAAGTGCAGGGTCCTGAGTTTAATCTCTGGTAGTGTAAATAAATAAATAAATAAGTGAAAATTAAAGCTTAGACTGTAGTGCCACACAAGCTTGGCTTTCAAACTACAGGACTTGATTAATTTTTTCTTAAATTAGTTTGAATTGGGTTTTGTGTACTTGCATCTAAACTACTGATTAACACATCTTATACTCTTCTTTCCCTTAGCACAATTATCAATAAGCATTGAACAGTATTTACTACAAACATAGTGATTTAATAATTTTTGTCACTGAAAACAATGCCTGATTCCCATAATATAAAGGAAGAGAGGTTTATTTTGGCTAGGAGTTTCAAAGGTTTTAGTCCATAGTTGACTGGCTCACATAGAAGAGGTGTAGTGGAAGGCCCACCATGGAGGAAAGCCACTCACATCATCTGTTGTGGCCACCAAGCAGAGAGAAGGGATGAGCCAGGGAAGAGGCACAGTGCATCTCCCCTTCTAGCGTGGCTCTGTGTCCTAGTGACATATTTAGCTATGGGTTTATCTGTGAATTAACCCACATGAGATATTTTAGGGACATTGCAGATCTAAACCATGTAGCTATTCTGAGCTTCCTCTAAATATAAAACCTTCAGGCCAGAGAGATAGCTCAGCAGACTTAAGCACCTGTTTGCAAGTGCAGGGGCCATGGTTTGGTCCCCAGCACCACATGCCCCACCAGCCCCATCCCCAGGGTGGGCTGAGGCAGCCAGAGTCTGGGCATAGTGGTGTACACCTATAATCCCAGCGCTGGGGAGGCTGAAAACAGGAGAATTACTATGAGTCTGAGCTGTGTAGTGAGACCCTGTAATAACCAAATACATTTTTAAAAACTTAAATAAATAAATATAAAACCATCAACAACCAGTCAAGATGGAGTAATGGGCCCATAAAAAGAAATAAGGCTGAGTGAAAGACATTCAGCCCCAGCAAGGAAGTACACTGAAGGCATCTCAGTGACTAGTACAAGATTTTTTCAAAACACCATTGGTACATATATTATCTACAATGAAGGAAAAAGACATTATTGAGTATTTTCAAGGAAGCAGAATAATTTCTCATACATAGTCTGTCACAGTGTGCATCCATGGTTACGTAAAAGATGAAAAAGATTCCTCAGAGGTGAGACTTCAGTGTAGTCACTGAGAGGACCAGAAGGGGCTGCTATTTCAGCGTACAAGAACTTCAGGAAGACAGTAGTGAGCTAAGACTTCTGCACTTATTTACTTATACTCAAACAAAGACAGAGAGGAAAAGCACTTTCAGCATATTGTCTAGAAGTTTTGGTCAGGGGACAGGGCCAGAATGGGATGGTTTGGTACATGACACATATTAAGCAATCTTAGTGAGATAGAGGGGACACAATGGCCAAAGCAAACATTTCTGAGAACAACTCTTTTAATTCTGCTGACTACTGTCCTGCAGCTCTAAACCCTAACCACACACTCCAGGAGTCCTGAACTAATCAGAAAGTCCATTTTTCACATTCATTTCAAACACTCCTTTGGCCAGAGGCTACCTACAATAGTCAGTGAAAGTGTTATTTTTACGACGACTTTATAAAGTGGTTATTATCTACTAAAGGTGAACACAGTAACATCTAATACAGTATAAAATACACTGTTGTATATCAATACTTGATGAAAAATACCTGTTCCTTATTATGCCTAAGATGTTTGAAATGCAGTGAGATAGTGAGGTTAAGCTTGATAGCCTAAATCATTTCATAATAACAATAAGCTTGCCTTCTGGATGGTTAACAACCTAAGTTTGCAGACTAAAATTAGAGAAAAAGGAGGGCTACAAGGAAAGCCAACATTTTGGCCCTAGTCTTCTAAGGTCAATTAAGACTCAGGACATATGAGAACTTGTACTGTAACGTCATGTACCTCGGTAGTGTCCCAGATTTTCTGATCAAGAAGATTATGGGGCCAAAGAGGAAAGTGATCGATGATGTAGAGTGTGCCTAAGGAGAGTCACATGGGGAGAAGACACTCTCTCAGGCTTTCACAGAGAGCACATTGGCCAAGCAATGGCCATGACTCATCCACATGGCTGCACTGACAAAGGTTCTACAATCTGAGGTACAGGATCTCAGGATAAATACTGAGGGGATTTCACTGACCTTCTCAGACCAAAAAGCTACAACTCTTGTTGCATAGGTCCTGCTTTACCTTGGTCTTAACCATCCAGTAGAAAAGTATGAACATGAAATATAGGAAATAAAGCCATGCTGTTATGTTGAGCTGTGGGGGACTCAGGTCAATAATTTCTGACATTGACAGTTAAACAGAAGACCCAATGTTATTATGGGCTACTGGACTCTTTTAGAATATTTTGCTGAGTTTACACACCTATAATATTCAATAACGGAACTTAGAAAAAATGGGTTATACCTATGAATGTCCATTTTGTATCTGTGTATTCAAAGTGGTTGGGATAGATATATAGTTGCATTGTCTTAATGAATAGAATGATTTTTTCTAATGGTGTTTGTAAATAGGATCACAAGTCCGCATCTTGTACAGCAATTAACCACTAAGAAGAATATATATAGTGTATTATTTGTTGAAATTGTACTTCCAATTTGATTTGAAACTGTCTCATTATTATCTGTTTATCAATAAAACCTTAAAAAAATAAAAAACACTGTTGTATTATACCACAGCTATAATATTCTATATGCTATGGTATCTACTATGACACAATATAGTAATTCCAATTATAAAATCAATAAAAATGCTCAATATATTCATTTAAGCACATAATATTTTCAGTAGCATTACCTATAAGAGTTTAAATCTGAAAACAATAAAAAGTTCATCAACTATAATATAACAAAATAACTAATGAATTATTGTATACTTATCCAGTAGAATACAATACTGATTTATAAATACACAAACTACAGCCACACATAACAATGTGAATGAATCGTACAAATGCAAAAAAATATGGTTTCATTCTAACAAGCTTAAAATCTGGCAA